TTGAAATAATGTGTGTAATCTGTGTCCCATATACTATGGTTTGAAATACTGTGTGTAATCTGTGTTTCGTATACTATGGTTGAAATAGACATTTACTTGTAGTTATTAATAGTCATAATACATAAAGTAAAACCAAAATAATAGTCACAAATAAAAAAAAATAAAAAAAAAAATGTACCAGTATATACACATTTAAAAATTGGAGTCTATACCTGCATCGGGTTATAATCAGATTTCATTGTGGTGTCACTTTGCAGAAAAAAAATGATTAAATATATGAAGTTAGTTGGGTCAAAGATGATGATTTATCTAATTTGTTTCAGGATGATATGTTCTTACGAGTGTTTAACTACAACACCCAAGAAAGAATTAATGCGTTTGATGCCCATACAGATTTCATACGATCACTTGCTGTTCATCCAACTCAACCATTTGTTATCAGTAGTAGTGGTAAGTTAACACGTTTTCATATTAGATACATGTACCTCAATCAGAGCTATAAATACCATAAATATGGAAACAGAAATATTATTCATTGTGGTACACTTCACATGAAAGATGTAAATGTTTTAGAAATTCAATTGCATGTGTAATGTACAAAAGAACAACATGCAAAAACACAATTTTTTAAATGAAATTAAAGACCTAAAATAAACAAGTTGTAAAGTATTCAATTTATATATCAATTCATTCAAATGTGTGAATATTTTAACTGAATACTGCTGATGGATACAAAATTTTGTTTTTATTTTCTGATTGCATCATATTACATACACAGCCCATTTATTGCCTGATCACCATGTGTTGTCAATTGACCAATAAGAACATGCTATTACAATACTGTAAAATACTTTATGTTTGCTTGGAATTTAGGTTTGTTATTTTCGCTGAAGGAATGATTCAGTTAAAATAAAATCTAGCAAATATAATTTTTGTCCCTAGATTTTAATTCAACTCATCAAAAGTTAATGAAAATAAATTCCATACAAAACACCCAAATAGCCTTTTCAGCGAAAATTTAATTCAGTTTAAAATAAAGCATTTTACATTAATCGACAACAAACACACAATTATAATAAGTATTCATATAATTACTGTAGATGATATGGTCATAAAGTTATGGAATTGGGAAAAGAAATGGCAGTGTGAGCAAGTATTTGAGGGTCATTACCATTATGTCATGCAAATAGTTATCAACCCCAAAGATAACAACACATTTGCTTCAGCTTCATTGGATACAACGATTAAGGTGAGTATGTTTGGTCACCATGATTACACAATATTTTACATTCAGATTTAACCACAGCCAAAGGATGGCAGGGCGTGCAACAACAGCCAAGAGATGGCAGAGCATGCAACCACAGCCAAGAGATGGCAGAGCATGCAACCACAGCCAAGAGATGGCGGGGCATGCAACCACAGCCAAGGGATGACTGGGTGTGCAACCACAGCCAAGGAATGACTGGGCATGCAACCACATCCAAGGGATGACTGGGCATGCAACCACATCCAAAGGATGACTGGGCATGCAACCACAGCCAAGGGATGACTGGGCATGCAACCACAGCCAAGGGATGACTGGGCATGCAACCACATCCAAGGGATGGCGGGGCATGCAACCACAGCCAAGAGATGACGGGGCATGCAACCACAGCCAAGGGATGGCGGGGCATGCAACCACATCCAAGGGATGGCGGGGCATGCAACCACAGCCAAGAGATGGCAGAGCATGCAACCACAGCCAAGGGATGGCGGGGCATGCAACCACATCCAAGGGATGACTGGGCATGCAACCACAGCCAAGAGATGGCGGGGCATGCAACCACAGCCAAGGGATGGCGGGTCATGCAACCACATCCAAGGGATGGCGGGGCATGCAACCACATCCAAGGGATGGCGGGGCATGCAACCACAGCCAAGAGATGACGGGGCATGCAACCACAGCCAAGGGATGACTGGGCATGCAACCACAGCCAAGGGATGACTGGGCATGCAACCACAGCCAAGAGATGACGGGGCATGCAACCACAACCAAGGGATGACTGGGCATGCAACCACATCCAAGAGATGACGGGGCATGCAACCACATCCAAGGGATGACTGGGCATGCAACCACAGCCAAGAGATGGCGGGGCATGCAACCACAGCCAAGAGTTGGCGTGGCATGCAATCACAGCCAAGGGATGGCGGGGCATGCAACCACATCCAAGGGATGGCGGGGCATGCAACCACATCCAAGGGATGGCGGGGCATGCAACCACATCCAAGAGATGACGGGGCATGCAACCACAGCCAAGAGATGACAGGGCATGCAACCACAGCCAAGGGATGACTGGGCATGCAACCACAGCCAAGGGATGACTGGGCATGCAACCACATCCAAGAGATGACGGGGCATGCAACCACATCCAAGGGATGGCTGGGCATGCAACCACATCCAAGGGATGGCGGGGCATGCAACCACACACAGCCAAGAGATGACGGGGCATGCAACCACAGCCAAGGGATGACTGGGCATGCAACCACAGCCAAGGGATGACTGGGCATGCAACCACAGCCAAGGGATGACTGGGCATGCAACCACAGCCAAGGGATAACTGGGCATGCAACCACAGCCAAGAGATGACTGGGCATGCAACCACAGCCAAGGGATGACTGGGCATGCAACCACAGCCAAGGGATGACTGGGCATGCAACCACAGCCAAGAGATGGCGGGGCATGCAACCACATCCAAGGGATGGCGGGGCATGCAACCACATCCAAGGGATGACTGGGCATGCAACCACAGCCAAAAGATGGCGGGGCATGCAACCACAGCCAAGGGATGGCGAGGCATGCAACCACAGCCAAGACATGGCTGGGCATGCAACCACATCCAAGGGATGGCGGGGCATGCAACCACAGCCAAAGGATGGTGGGGCATGCAACCACAGCCAAGGGATGACGGGGCATGCAACCACAGCCAAGAGATGACTGGGCATGCAACCACAGCCAAGAGATGGCGGGGCATGCAACCACAGCCAAGGGATGACTGGGTGTGCAACCACAGCCAAGGGATGACTGGGCATGCAACCACATCCAAGGGATGACTGGGCATGCAACCACATCCAAGGGATGACTGGGCATGCAACCACAGCCAAGGGATGACTGGGCATGCAACCACATCCAAGAGATGACTGGGCATGCAACCACATCCAAGAGATGACGGAGCATGCAACCACAGCCAAGAGATGACAGGGCATGCAACCACAGCTAAGGGATGACTGGGCATGCAACCACAGCCAAGAGATGGCGGGGCATGCAACCACAGCCAAGGGATGACTGGGTGTACAACCACAGCCAAGGGATGACTGGTCATGCAACCACATCCAAGGGATGACTGGGCATGCAACCACATCCAAGGGATGACTGGGCATGCAACCACAGCCAAGGGATGACTGGGCATGCAACCACATCCAAGAGATGACGGGGCATGCAACCACATCCAAGGGATGACTGGGCATGCAACCACAACCAAGAGATGGTGGGGCATGCAACCACAGCCAAGGGATGGCGGGGCATGCAATCACAGCCAAGGGATGGCGGGGCATGCAACCACATCCAAGGGATGGCGGGGCATGCAACCACATCCAAGAGATGACGGAGCATGCAACCACAGCCAAGAGATGACAGGGCATGCAACCACAGCTAAGGGATGACTGGGCATGCAACCACATCCAAGGGATGACTGGGCATGCAACCACATCCAAGGGATGACTGGGCATTCAACCACAGCCAAGGGATGACTGGGCATGCAACCACATCCAAGAGATGACGGGGCATGCAACCACATCCAAGGGATGACTGGGCATGCAACCACAACCAAGAGATGGCGGGGCATGCAACCACAGCCAAGGGATGGCGGGGCATGCAATCACAGCCAAGGGATGGCGGGGCATGCAACCACATCCAAGGGATGGCGGGGCATGCAACCACATCCAAGGGATGGCGGGGCATGCAACCACATACAAGAGATGACGGAGCATGCAACCACAGCCAAGAGATGACAGGGCATGCAACCACAGCTAAGGGATGACTGGGCATGCAACCACAGCCAAGGGATGACTGGGCATGCAACCACATCCAAGAGATGACGGGGCATGCAACCACATCCAAGGGATGGCGGGGCATGCAACCACATCCAAGGGATGACTGGGCATGCAACCACAGCCAAGGGATGACTGGGCATGCATCATGTTTTGAATTAATTATTGAGTATATTTGTAGGTGTGGCAGCTAGGTTCCAATACTCCTAATTTCACTCTGACTGGTCATGATAGTGGAGTCAATTGTGTAGATTACTACAGCGGTGGTGATAAACCATATTTGGTATCAGGTGCGGATGATAGACTGGTTAAAATATGGGATTACCAGGTAAGCAGTAGTAACTGGTAGTAATGAAAAATTATGTATATAAATGTGAATAGTTTACTAACCAACTGTAAGTAATGGATAAGTGTCCTCCCAAAAACCAATTTTTTTTTCCTTGTGAATTCTTCAAAATTTATTTATTTGTTTACTATTTATTAATTAATTTATTTATTTATTTATTTTATTTATTCAAGAATAAAACCTGTGTTCAGACATTAAAAGGCCATACAGAAAATATCACCACAGTCTGTTTCCATCCAACATTACCCATAATACTTTCAGGTGGTGAAGATGGTAAGTCCCACAATGCATTTCCTTTTACCCATAATGCACTTCAGCAATAAGTCAGTAATCCTTCTCCAAAGCAATGTACAATCACCAAAAATTGACAATACTTTCCTGCTGTGCTCAATATGGGTCCCATGCCACATTCATTGTTTTCACCAAAACGTTATGCAGTACACTGAAAAACAACCACCATGTTTTAATGTGTTTATTTGAAAAAAACACATTTATTAAAACCTATTCGAAAACTTATTTTGTTAAAGTGTTTTTTATACACTTATCACGATAATAAAATAACTAACTAAATAACAATCATGTTTTCCCTACCACCCAAATCAATTCAGGGTTTATGTTACCCATAGCAACCAGAAAACACATCAATTATGACAATTTATTTTAATTTTCAGATACTGTTCGTATTTGGCATGCCAACACATATAGATCAGAAAAAACTCTAAACTATGGTTTAGAGAGAGCATGGGTAATTGCAGCGTTGCCAGGATCCAATATGGTGGCACTTGGTTTTGATAATGGAGCTATTATATTGAAGGTACTGTTCCCTCATGTAATTTTTCATTTATGGAATGTATTTCACTTTGTGATCTGTAAATAGAATGAAGAGATTGAGCTGTTGGCATAATAAAATGGCCAATTTCGTGACCTTTGTAATGGTCATATATTGACCCCTGCATGTCTGTCATAGCAATAATGACTCTAACATCCTGACAATAATTAACCCTAAAGTTTGCACATCTTTTTGATTATTATGAGTATAAAAAGTACAAAATTGGTTTATTTTTATTCACTACAGAATTGTGTGTGTACTTGTATTCTTTATGTACTTTGAGTATGTAAAATTAAACGTTTTTTCAGGTTGGCAGTGAAGAGCCAGCAATGTCAATGGACAGTAATGGTAAATTCATATTTGCAAAGCACACTGAAATCCAACAAGCCAATCTGAAAAATCTGCAAGGTATGTTAATCTACATTTGATAATAAGGTTATTTAAATATTTGTTTATTTTGTTTTTGGAAGATGTATTGCAGGATGAAAACAAAAGATTACCTTTGCTCATCACTAGAGGGCAGAATTTCATGTAACTGCAAATTACATAATTATTCTTTGATGAATAGGGCTGGAAATAAATGATGGTGAAAGATTGTCATTACCTGTAAAAGATATTGGAAGCTGTGAAATTTACCCACAATCCATTGCGCATAATCCCAATGGAAGGCAAGTATCAGCAAATATATATATACAAGACCTGTTTTCTAATAATACAATGAGGCAATTCCATGGATTGACATCTTATACTACAACTGCCATAGAACCCTACATACCACTAAATCTGATGCTCTACTATGTTTTAAATTACATGTAACTGTTTATTTAGCATAAATTGTTGTTTTTTACATTCTTCTATTAATGCAATTTGAGGAATATATAAAATAATTGTAACAAGTTTCTACCTCACTTAACTCTAAATTTACAGAATGAAACTATAATTTTGGTGAAAACATAGTTCTGGTGATTTATCACACTTGCTACATTGTTGTGTTGTTTCAGGTTTGTTGTTGTTTGTGGTGATGGTGAATACATTATATACACCGCTATGGCTTTGAGAAATAAAGCATTTGGATCAGCTCAAGAATTTGTCTGGGCACTAGACTCATCAATGTAAGTTGCATGTCTGGTCGTTTGTCTGGGCACTAGACTCATCAATGTAAGTTGCATGTCTGAGCATTTGTATGGGCACTAGACTCATCAATGTAAGTTGCATGTCTGGTCGTTTGTCTGGGCACGAGACTCATCAATGTAAGTTGCATGTCTGGTCGTTTGTCTGGGCACGAGACTCATCAATGTAAGTTGCATGTCTGAACGTTTGTCTGGGCACGAGACTCATCAATGTAAGTTGCATGTCTGGTCGTTTGTCTGGGCACGAGACTCATCAATGTAAGTTGCATGTCTGGTCGTTTGTCTGGGCACTAGACTCATCAATGTAAGTTGCATGTCTGGTCGTTTGTCTGGGCACTAGACTCATCAATGTAAGTTGCATGTCTGGTCGTTTGTCTGGGCACTAGACTCATCAATGTAAGTTGCATGTCTGAAGGTTTGTCTGGGCACGAGACTCATCAATGTAAGTTGCATGTCTGAACATTTGTCTGGGCACTAGACTCATCAATGTAAGTTGCATGTCTGGTCGTTTGTCTGGGCACTAGACTCATCAATGTAAGTTGCATGTCTGGTCGTTTGTCTGGGCACTAGACTCATCAATGTAAGTTGCATGTTTGGTCGTTTGTCTGTGCACGAGACTCATCAATGTAAGTTGCATGTCTGAACATTTGTCTGGGCACTAGACTCATCAATGTAAGTTGCATGTCTGAACGTTTGTCTGGGCACTAGACTCATCAATGAAAGTTGCATGTCTGAACGTCTGGTCTGCTATTCATATATGGTGACAGTCTGATAAGAATAAATGAATTTGATGGTTTTGTATTTTAACAAATTCTAGCTGGTTTCAAGAATAACAGTTTAGTCTATTTGTTGGAATAGGCACAAAACTTGGGAATTTGTTTACATTTGTAAAACAACAATCAGGAAACATGCAAATTAGGTCTGTCATGTGATTTCAGTTAGCTAATTGTATTGGATGATTGGAATAAAGAAGTAATGGCCTGGTATTGCCACTCACAAATTAGCTGTCACCTGAAGGTTAATTTAGAGGTGTATGTTAGCAAAAACTTTGATTAAACTGATAATATTTGCAATTCTCACAATTCATATGTTTTCATATGCACAGGTATGCTGTAAGACTGAAAGATCACATCAAAATATTCAAGAATTTTAAGGAATTCAAAGATTTGAAGCAATCAATCACACCTGAAGGTATTTTGTGTCTTCTGTTATATTTGTTGTTCCTTCATTCCATCATTCTCCCACTTATCTGTTCAATCATTGTGTTGTAGGCATCTATGGTGGATTTCTATTGGGAGTGAAGACATCTGATGGATTAGCTTTCTATGACTGGGACAGTGTGGACACCCTCATTAGAAGAATAGAGATAACACCCCAATCTGTAAGTATACATTGCATATTTGGCATTCGGTGTTCTATACTTTGAATTCAGTATTCTACATTTGGAATTCAATATTCCATATTTGGAATTCAATATTCCATTTTTTGGCATTCAATATTCCATATTTGGAATTCAGTATTCCATATTTGGAATTCAGTATTCCATATTTGGAATTCAGTATTCCATATTTGGCATTCAATATTCCATATTTGGAATTCAGTATTCCATATTTGGAATTCAGTATTCCGTATTTGGAATTCAATATTCCATTTTTTGGCATTCAATATTCCATATTTGGAATTCAGTATTCCATATTTGGAATTCAGTATTCCATATTTGGCATTCAATATTCCATATTTGGAATTCAGTATTTCATATTTGGAATTCAGTATTCCATATTTGGAATTCAATATTCCATTTTTTGGCATTCAATATTCCATATTTGGAATTCAATATTCCATAGTTGGAATTCAGTATTCCATATTTGGAATTCAATATTCCAGTTTTTGGCATTCAATATTCCATATTTGGAATTCAATATTCCATATTTGGAATTCAGTAATCCATATTTGGAATTCAATATTCCATTTTTTGGCATTCAATATTCCATATTTGGAATTCAGTATTCCATATTTGGAATTCAGTATTCCATATTTGGCATTCAGTATTCCATATTTGGAATTCAGTATTCCATGTTTGGCATTCAGTATTCCACATTTATTTTTATTTCAGATATTCTGGTCTGACAACGGAGAACTAGTGTGTATCACAACTGATGAGTCATTTTTTATTTTAAAATACAATGCTGAGGCTGCTTCCAAAGCACAAGAAACAAATGAAGGAATCACAGAGGATGGTGTTGAAGATGCATTTGAGGTCAGTCAAATTTCTACCAAGGGTTGAAAGCTCACAGCTTCTGTAAAGTTAATACAACGAAAGAATGAATGGTTATTTCAATTTTCAAATTTCAATTATCTTAAATCATTTTAAATTGAACTACGCTTGACGTAACTTTTCATGCTTAATTTTTTTAATTTCCTCGAATTTCATTGTCACATTTGAATTTAAATGACAATATGATTTCAGTTGAAAAAATGAGATCATTATTAAATAACAAATACAACAGCTGTTTTGTAATTTTCAATGAAGAAATTAATGTCCTGCAATACAAGAGTGCACAGTTACCAAGAATTTATAAGTTTAGGTTAGGTTTTGCAAGTATAGTTTTAGCTAGCGTGGTCATGAACTCATTATTGTGTGTAAACTACATTGGAATATTATTTTATTTTAGGTGGTTGGAGAAGTTGAAGAAGTAGTGAAAACTGGTACCTGGGTGGGAGACTGTTTTATCTACACAAACTCTGTAAACAGAATTAATTATTATGTTGGTGGTGAAATAGTTACAATATCACATATGGACAGGTAAGACAAGTGCTTTGCTTCACTGTCATCTTACAGCTGTTCATGATTGTCAGTCGTCATCCGTCCGTCAACAGTTACATTTTCATCTTCTTCTTGAAAACTATCAGATCAAGTTACAAGTGCTTTGATACTTGCTATGGACCTCTGCCAGATTTGTTAAATTTTTGACGATATCTTCAATTCTCAGAGTTTATTTTTCGTGAATATTCTTGTCATTTTGTTAAAAAATGCTGTTTTTGGCTATTTCTGGAAAACTATCAGCTCAATCGCTCAATGTTATATTTAAGTTTGTTGGGTGGACCTCTGTCTGATTTGTTCATTTTGTGCTGATATCGTATATTTTCTATTTTTGGCAAATATTTTTAAAAAGTGTTGGTAAAAAATGATATTTTCAAACTTTTCTTGTACACTGCCAATTATTTTTGTGAATAATTTGTTTGATGAACTTAAGTTGTCAACAGCCAAAACCAAACTACTTTTTGATATGACTGACTTTGTATATATTTGTCTCTGGATCAGAAATGTTCTAATTTATCATTGGCTCTTGTTGTCTTTGATTCTACCTCAATTAAAATGTTGTACTGCTGAGAATTTATTTCCCATATATGCAATGCATTATGGGAGGTAACTTTTCATTATGGTATGCTATTATCACACTGGAAATCGAATATCAGTTCTCATCATTATTGAGCAAATTACAGCAACATCAGGATCCACAAAC